AAAAAAAAAAAAAAAAAAATTAACCAGGGGGTGATTGGCAGTAGTGGGAAACTAGGGGTGGGGGGTGGCACACTTTATCAACAAGGGCATCTGCATAATGAACATTTGTATAGCTAACCCTGAAATGTATCTTTAAAATTAAAAATTAAAAAAATTGGCCAGGCTCAGTGGCTCAGCCTGTAATCCCAGCACTTTGGGAGGCCAAGGTCCAACCCAGGCAACTTGGCGAGATCTCGTCTCTACAAAAAGTCCAAAAATTAGCTGGACGTGGTGGTGCATGCCTGTAGTTCTGGCTACTCAGAAGGTTGAGGTGGAAGGATCACCGGAGTCCAGCAGGTTGACACTGGGGTGGCTGTGAGTGTGCCACTGTACTCCAGCCTGGGCGACAGAGTGAGACTGCAACTCAAAAAATAAAAAATTAACCAGGTGTGATGGTGCACCCATAGTCCCAGCTACTGAGGTCAAGACTACAGTGAACCAAGATCAAGATCTGCCACTGCACTTCAGCCTGGAAACAGTGTGAGACTCCCCACTTCCCAAAATGGTGCTCGATAGCATAACACTTTCATTGTCATTCCAGTGGAGGTTCAGCACTTAAAAAGTACAAAGTAACAGAGCCAGGACAGCCAAACCATGGAGCCCATTCACGTGGTCTCCTCCTCACTTTATCCTCTTTACAGTTCTCAGATATGATGGAGAAGCTTCTTCTGGTTTGAGATTGAAAAAATTCATTTTCTTTAGTATGGCTGATCAGGATGACACATCCTGCAGCAGTCTATCTATAAAGAACTACATTCTCTACAATATCCTTACCTCACACGTGAGAATCTATGCATCCTAACTCCTTTCCCCAACACTAGGGGGAAGCAGCCACAACAAAACTGGACTGGACTGAGCCGCTGAAACGCTAGGCAGACAGGCAGACGCAGGTCTGTCCCTCCCACAGCAACACGGAGAACATAAGATGGGGAGAGCAGGGCTTGATCCTCCAAAGAATCTTTCCTGACCCCTTCATGGAAGACCAAGTGTTTGTGCCCCAGAGCACCTCGCACATCTCTTGGACATTATCTACTGGTGTCTAGTAGAGCATGAGGTACTTTTACTACTAGAAAAGCTAGTGCAGCGTCCATCACACTATTTACAATGAATCCAGCTTGGACTCCGGAGTAATTTCTTCATTTCTTCTCTTCAAAGTATAGCCAACTCTACCTAATTGGTTGAAAGGTCTAGATTTCTCATGAAGGTTCCTAGAAAACCACCGGGTTCCAAGAACCCTTTTTTTGAGACAGGGTCTCACTCTGTTGTCCAGGCTGGAGAGCAATGACATGATCACAGCTCACTGTACCTTTTAACTCTTAGGCTCAAGAGATCCATCGTCCCCCTCAGCCACCTGAGTAGCTACGACTACAGGTGTGCACCACCACACCCAGCTCATTTGTACACTCTTTAATAGAGACAGGGCCTGCTACATTGCCCGGGCTGATCTTGAATTCCCTGCCACAGGGGTCCTCCCATCTCAGCCTCTCAAAGTGCTGGGATTGCAGGTATAAGCCACTGTACCTGGGAAGAACTCAATTATTTACTGAAACATGATAAATGTTCAGCATTGTTTAAATGAGAATTAAGTGAAGTCAGTCATTCCTCCCAAAAATCCATGGTAAAGATGGAAGGGGCCTACAGGTCAGACAATCAACCAAGGATCTAAGCTCCTTAGGCTCGTTTATCACCATCTTAATGGCTCCCCTTCAAGAACCTGTCTATAATGACAAGACCGTTAATAAGACCTATTAATTCAGACACAAAGTTGGACACATTAAGTACTCTTGGCACTTAACTTTTGAGCTGTTGGTAAATGTGAGCAGGACCTAATACAGTACGTTTGCCGCTACTGAAATTTTCCCCTTCCAAATGTACACTTATCTTCAATGAAGGCCCAACAGTTGATCTCCTATGGGGACTGGTGTCAAGAACTTTAAGACTGTATGCAGTGTCTGCAGCTAATTCTCCACGTACGGAGGAGGAGAAAAAAGCAGATGCAGCAAAGACTGGGGTGCTAAGTGAAGAGGATATGGGAAGAAGGACTGTTGTGATGCCAGCAGATTACTGAAGACCTCTAGGTGGGCCACTTAGAGGCGATGAGTTGATGCCAAGAAAAAAAACACAAGACATAAATACCGGCACTTCAGGTCAAGCAGAACTTAAAATTAAATGTTCATACTAGCTGAGACATACTTGTGCCCTGGCCAGAGTAAAGTATGTAATTTTAAAAACCCTTTATCACCTCAGGAGCAGTCAAAATAAAGACTAAAACAACACGGAATATGAATATGGGATTTATAGTCAGTAGCAGAAAACATAGGTTCTGCTTAAATATTCTCCCTAACTTAACAAAATCAATTTCTAACCTTTGGAGAACTTGAAACCTTTTCTTTAGAAAGTGCTACTCCTGCCCAGTAAGCTAAACATGACCAGACACTATCCTTCCTATCACTCACGTCTACAAGAACCTGCAGTCAGGAAATCAGAGTAGACCAAGAAAAACCCAACTTTACAACACGACAGGAGCCAAACACACAGGCAGTTCCACAACCTCAAATGGTGAGAACCTCACATCCCATCGTCCTCAGTTTTACACGTCAAGCCCCAGAAGAAAACAAGAATCTTTTCTAAATGACACCTCTCCAAGAATATAAAACGTGAAGGAAGCCAACAAGTGGGTGGAACCAGACTTCAGTCTAATCCCTTCTGCTGAATACCACTACAAAGGACTCAAGAGCAGAGAAGACACATTTCCTAAGTTTTCAATTACCAATCAGTTTTCACTTTGGTTAAGTTCACAAACTGATGCGAAAACACCTAGGACATTAATGGCAAGCGGTAGGTTGTCAGCAAAGGCCAAAAATATTAGACCCGGTTTTTGAGTAAGTTCTCTAAGGCCATAATACTGCCTTCCAGAGAGACGTCAAATAACAGTCTTTGGTTAAGGAAAGTGTTTCTTTCACCAGGCACTTTATCAAGTTTATCCTTTACTGTGAGTAAAGGATTTTTAATCTTAAACCGCAACTATATATTCACGTTTTTCTTCTATTTTAAGAACGCTTCAAAATACGACACTTCCTTAACATCAATCTGAATTTGACTGAAGATTAGGCTTGATAAAATGTTAACTTCAAGTCCTCTAAACCAACAGACGATCCATAAACCAACCAGTTCAATTTCTAAGAATTACTGTTTTCTTTAACTTTAAAAATAACATGCCTAGATTGTATGATTCCATTCCTATAAGGTTCTAGGAAAAATTAATTTCTGGCCTTGGAACAGTAGTGACTCTGGGGTGAAGACAGTGACTAGAACGTGTGAGGGATGCCTTACTCTGCACCAGTCAGGTTCAGTTTCTTGACCTGTGGGTGCTGATTACACAGGCTGGTCTCACTGTGTGAACACGTGAAATCTGCATACTCTGTAGTATACTATACTTCAGTTACAAAACTGTTTATTAATTGCTATTGAAACACTAAGTTCAGCCACCAACAATAAAAGTGAAAATTGTGAACTGACAAATTCATGTTAGCTGTGTCATATAAAAATGCCTACAGAGAACTGGAAGTAGGCAAGCTCTCACAGGATTTTAGAGCTGGCAAGCTCATTTGATGAGCAAGTGGAAAGACTGCCTTCCTGAAGTGAACAAGGACGGAGGTAACCCATTTGAGCCCTGACCTGCATATCCAAAGGACAAGACCACTGTGATGCAGCTTCGGGGATAAAGAACAACCCAACTTGTATCCAACATCGGCCCTAAAGGGTATCGAAACACACTGTAACCACACTGTACCTGATTTGCATTGCCTGAACTCTGAGGCCACTGTAATCAACCTCTTTTTGCTCGAATTCTTTCCACCCATCTTCCTCCTGTAAAACAGACAGGTCCGGTCAATTAAAGCTATTTGTAAGCATACGGCTAAACACACAAATCCTGAAGTGTAACCGTACTTTTAAAATAAATGCATTCAGAAAAGAAAAAAAAAAAAACAGCCGGGCGCGGTGGCTCACACCTGTCATCCCAGCACATCGGGAGGCGGAGGCGAGATGGCTGCCTGAGCCCAGGAGTTCGAGACCAGCCTGGGAAAACTGGCGAGACCTCGTATTACAATAAATTTAAAACTCAGCCCGGCGTGGTGGCGCGCGCCTGTGGTTCCAGCTACTCGGAAGGCTGAGGCGGAAGGACCGCCTGAGCCCAGCAGGTCGAGGCTGCGGCGGCCGGGAGCGCGCCTCTGCCCTCCAGCCTGGGCGACAGAGTGAGACTCCGGCTCAAAAAAAAA